GCGCTGTCCCAGCAGCGGCCCGGCGCGCTGGGCGGCCGCCACGTGGTGCGCGGGGCCGGGGTCGGGCTGGGCGGGGAGGGCCGGGGCTCCCCTGCTCTCGGCTCACCCGACGGCGCGTGTGCTTGCAGCTGTACTCCGTGTACCTGGACGGGTTCCTCTTCTGCAGGGTGCGCTACAGCCAGCTGCATCGCTGGAACGAGCGGGTGAGCGGGTCGGACGCGGGTACCAGCCCGTCCACCTGAGACAGGTGGGGAAAAGGGTGCCCACGAGGCTCTGGTCGCGAGACTGGCAAGGCAGTGGACCTGTCGGGACCTCGGGCTCCTAATCCGTGAGACAAGGTCGGGTGAGACTTGTGAGTTGCTTGGCGTGCAACTCGATGAATACACGTGTGACTCCCGATCATGCACAGCCCTGGCGTGACGGAGCAGCGCGCAGGGGCTTCTGCCAGCCCCTCTCCAGCCTCATGACCCCCACCTGGGAGGGAGCCGGAGCCAGTGGGCTCCATTTCAGTGCCAGCTGTTCCCCAGGACGACGTTCCCCTTCAAAACAGGCAAACCGAGTGTAGACCAAGGTGTCAGAGTCTTAAGAATCTTGTACGTGGATATTTAATCTCCGTTCTCTCCAGAGTTTCTTAGCTTACCCCCTTTAAAAAGGCGTGTCTATTTCCAAACTGCCCTATTCCTAGCCTTCAAGTGCTGGCACGCTGGGAACCCAGGAAACGGGTAACTTATCATGTTAGGCCATTTCCCACCATAGTTTCTCACTCTGATGTCCTGACAGTATTTTCTCTGGGAGGCACGCTGATTTATTAGTCTGCTCTAATGGATTTAGTTTTATTTTTCTTATAAGGAAGTGTTATAGGTGTAAATGGAAGTTTGGAAATAAACTCCACCTTCCTTACCCCCCTCATCCATGAATAGTTTTTTTTCTTTTTCTCTTTCTTTCTTTTTTTTTTTTTTTTTTTTTTTTGTTTTTTTAGATTTTAAATTATAGAGAGCACATCCAAAAGTTAAAAAGAAAAGTATAGAGGAGACAGAAAACACTTGCCCAAAGGCCACAGATATTAACATTTTGGGGGGAGAGTCCTTTCAGACAGTCTCCGGGTTTCTAGTGAGTGTGTACACCGTGCTGCAGTTAACCATCTCCTGTTGATGGACAGCTCAGTCAGATGTTTCTACTATTGAAATCGTCACTGCAGCAAGCCACCTTGCTCACACATCATAGTGCATTGAAAAAGACCGTTTTCAAGGTATGATTTAAGTATCTTGGAGTCAACAAGAAAACAGTTGTAACATGGTACTAGTCGAGTGGTCATCTTTGTATTACTAGCACCTGGCAGTAAGTCGGTCCTCAGGAGTGATTGTCAAATGACTGAGGAAGGGCATGGATTTGGACTTCTTTTTTTTTTTTTTTTTTTGCTGTGCAGACGTCTTTGTTGCATGTTCTTCTTCCAGACTAGAGCTTACCTAGTCTTGCTTGCCTGTGAGGAAACCATAAGATTAAAGGAATGTGAAATGATCTTTTTTTAAATTCTCTCTGCTTGTCTTTATATATATATATATATATATATATATATATATATAATTGTTACAAATTGTACTTAATTTTATGCCCCTTGTCCAATCTCTCCCTATCCTCCATCCCTCCCTCCTCCCCCCTCCAATAACCCTAGATTTCTTCTCTCCTTCTGAAAGAGTAATGGTTACTCTGTTGATTTGTTTCGTAGATGATGTGTCCAATGCTGAGAGATGTGATCAGGTCCCCCAATATTATCATAGAGCAGATGCTTCTTCTGTCACTCTGGAATGGGCTTTGTGGAGAGAGACATCCTCTTCTTTTCTTTGGTCTCTGCTGGCGACTCTCCTTGTGTCAATGAACTCCAGTGGCTGGTGGGTCATCTGCATGGTGGTTGTGACATCTAGCCACTCTCGCAGCAGCCGTGGTTACTGTGGTGGCTGTGGTGGGCCACCCACATGGAAGTGATGTGCTGAAGGCTGAGAAGCTGCTTGTGACTGAAACACATCTGGGGAGTTGGGAGGACCTCAGAGGCAGGCAGATGGGGATCTCGGAGGAAGAGAAAGGATAGATGTTTTAGCCCTTTGGAGATGGAAGTCAGGATATCCTCTCTCACCCTTATGTGTCCTCCTAAAATGTGAAGCAGGAATGGGGAAGGAGCCTTCCCCAGGTGCAGAGCAGGAGACAGCAGGGACTGTGTGGGCCCGACTGACCGCTTCCTGGCTGGTCGCCTCCCCTCTTCTCTGACCTTCATTTTTCTCACCAAAAATAATACGCAAGTGGGTTGTTATGGATGTCAGCCTCTAAGGGTGCTGGTGAAGAGGAGGGGCCGGTTTCTCACAGAGCCTGGCACTTAACCCATGCTCAGTAAGCATTCACTGACTCAGAGCTTTCAACAATTCCTGAATCTGGTCCTCTTTAACCAACAGACTCAGGAAAATGCTTATCTTCAAGAAAACTTGGGCATATCAATTCCTAGCAGGTCCAGAAGCAGAGACATGAAGTGAGTACCTCTTGATCATCTTCTGTTTGGGAAATTGTGAGCAAGAAACATTGTTATTCACCACAGTAGGCCCTTAAATGTTGAATTGCCACAGCTCAGTATCCTTGGTGAGCTATGCAATAGATATTAAATACTTCATATTTGTCCCAGATTTTTCAAAACCCTAAAGCAGAGATTTCTTTGTCTAGTTTCTAACTTCTTTATATCTTATGCTCGTCATTTTCACCCTTTCTATACAAACAACTTCATTTTAGAGAAACTTTTTAGGTCTTAGGTAGCTATTGATATTTATTATTAATTTAAAACAATACCTAACAATTAAACAGTTACAAATGCTAAGGTTGGTGCCAAAAACTTTAAATTTAATAATGTCTTGTTTAATTTTTACAGCAGTCCTAGAGCTAAGATTATATTAGCCTCATTTAACAGATGAGGAAACTGAGGCATAATTTGCCCAAAGTCATACTGTTAGAGCCAGGATTTGATCTCCAGAACCTGATCTGACCCATTACATTTTATGTTTTCTTATTAAGTTGACAAAATAAATCATATCAGTAAAACAATTAAGGAGTCCACTGATTGAGTCCTAAAGTGATGTTCTTTTAAAAACTATATTTTGCAATAATGTAATAAAATCCCCCGATTTTAGGTGTTCGGTGTGATAAATTTTGGCAAATATATACAATACCACCACAATCAAGATAAAGAACAGTTCCCTCATTCTAAAAGCCTCCTTGTCCTCTTTGCCCTGGATCCCCTCCACCCACATGTGGCCCCAGGAAATCAAGGTCTACTCTCTGTCATCAGAGTTCCAGGCACAGGATTCTGTTTGAGCTTCCCAGAAAGCCCCCGTGAGGTTAGTAGTGTGATTATTATCACTCTCATTTTATAGATAGTCTGAGTAAGGTTGCCAGGTTTAGCAAATAAAAACACAGAATCCCTGGTTAAATTTGAATTTCATGTGAACAATAAACAATTTTTTAGTATGAGTATGTCCCATGTGCTATTTGGAACTTACTTAACTGGGCATCCTGTATTGTATCTGGCCATCCTACCTCTGAGACTGAAAGGTTAGGTGACCTCTCCCAGCCACTTTTCAGCTAGTTTTTATTCTTCCTATTTAGTGGAGGATGTGAAAAGGCTCAGAATTCTTAATCTAATATAAAGTCCTATAAAAAAGGAAACAATATAAAGGCCCCATCTGTCTGTGCGTGTTTGGTGATTGATAATTTTATTTCTAATGATTTCCTGGAAAGTTCATCATCCTGATAGAGTAGAAATTTTATCCTTAGAATTGACTTGTTCTTCATTTACTTAAGAAATATTTAGTAAGTTTCTATTATATGCATGCACTGTGTTAAGTTAAGTGAAGACTATGACTTTTTAGCACCTATAATACGCGACCTTAAGAACTGGATTTATATTTTGTATATTGAATAATTCTGAGATTGAGCAGCAGCATTGGCCCAAGTGAGGGGGCCCCTCGTCGGTCTCAGCCAGGGCATGTGGAGAGCTAATGCATCAACGATTGGACCTGGGGAAGGGGTGGGTATGTTTCTATGACATTAGCTGTGGCCCACGTTCTCTGACGTCATCACTTGCGGCTCTGTCCACCCAGTGAGGCTCCATCCAGGTCTGGTAGCTCACCCCATGCTGTGAATGCTGTCCATCTCTCTGCCATGTGGATTGACCCTCTCCAACTTCTTTCTGTGGCTTTAGATAAATAAAGCCAGTTTGATTTATCCCCTTGCCTGCACCACCCCCACTGAAATGGATTTAAGGAAATCTGGGAAGGAAACATTTAATCAGCCCATCTTGGCCAGGTGTTGCAGATGGGACCATCCCTTGTAAGTGATATGGGGCTCTGTGAACAGGATGCCTGCTTCCTTGCACTCTGTCAGCATCAGAAACTGCAATGGGGACAAGCTGGGGAAGATTAGAAAGGACAGTATAGCAGGAGGGTAGGTTCTGTTCTCCTCCCTGCCAGGTGCTGACCTGGCTCCTTCCAGGCTCCTTGTCTAACCTGATCCCCCCTCTTTTTCCACTCAAAGCTCCTGTTCCTATTAGGCTGGCCCAGCCATTGTCACCCATTGCCTGGCTCACTTCCCCTGCCTGGGAAGACTCCTGGTTTCTGGTCTACTTGTCAGCGACCAGCCCTTTCTCAAAGCTCACTTAAGCCCCACCTCCTTCAGAAAGTCCCTGATTGCATGAGATGCCTTTCTCTGATTCCTGTTCCACTTTGTGTTTAGACGTTGTCTTGTTCCTCTTTTTGTGTGTGTATTTTGTCTCCCCCGATTATTTAGGAGCAAAAACCATGTATTTGAATGGAAGGACAAATGAAGGCTGGTGAGTATAGAACACCCAGCATGGAATCTGCCTGAGTAGTTGCTTAATAGAGATTTGGAGGAAAACGTGATATGGTGATAATGATGACAGTGAAAAGACCGAGACCAAGTTCTGCCTCTCATTAGCCCGTAGGACCTAGTTTTAAGTCACTTCATCTCCCTGAGCCTCACGTTACTCCCATGGCCAGGTGGAAGGATGACAATGTTCATGGTGATGATGACCCATCTGCCTAACAAGGCTGTTTTGAGGAACTAGTGGGATAATATACAAGCTCCAGGCTAATGTTCTTTGGTACTAGATGCCACAACTCAGACTGCTTTGAGCAGTTGCCCTTTATCTGGTAAATCTAGGTTTTCAATTACAAGGGGACTTGGAGAGGGGATGAATGAGTCAACATTAGAAACAGATTGGAGAAAGGACACATTTTGTATCTGATTCTGCTCGTACCAGGTTGTCACCACTCTAGGATAGGTATTGAGGGGGGTGGGGTGGGGGCTACAAGTGCAGTAAGGCAGGGGAAGGAGGTGACATTTTCAACTGGCAGTAAAGTTCTCCTCACGTTAAGAGAAAGAACTGCACAATGGGGAAGCTGGTGCAGGATATTGTTCTGGGATTTAAAAATATATTATCTGAACATAGTCTTCCAAAAAAACCCAACAAAAAACACCTTATAATAAACGAGCAGAAGAGGTGTGTTTTCCTTTTGATCCCCTTAAATAGTTTTTGAAAGAGAGATTGAGCCGAACACTAGTACCAGATAATTCTAAACATGCTAATGGTTTGAGAAACTGTTAAAACTTCTGCGCTGAGACCCATAGAAAAGGTTCTCTGTTGGTAGAGTTGCACTTGTGGAGTAGATGGTTGACTCCTGGCCGACTTACCTAGTCAGTTTACTGTATATATATCTTCCTCCTTAGACCAATATTAGAGAAGGGAGGAGAAAGATTCCTTGGGAGGTCAGCCTGCTCTGTGATGGGTATTAAAATCTTAATCCTTGTAGACTTTTTCCCAGCTCTTGGCCTCAGGGCTTCCCTAAGTTGCTCTCCTGCATATGGACAACTCAGGCAGCCCTGTTGACTCAAGGTCACTGTGATTAGAACCAATTTGGGAGCATCAGCAACATTTATGAACACATGCCAAGGAAAACAATTGCCTTTTAAAGATCAGTCAATCAAGAAATAATTGCATCCAGAGAGGACAGATTTCCACCTTTGTTTTATGGCATTAGTAGAGACGGGGTGCGTCAATCCCAGGTGGTTTGAGCAGTCCTGCCTGGGATGATGCTTCACCTGCCATGCCTCTTTTCAGTCTCTGGCATAGCAGGAAAATTTTCTTGAGTTTAAAAGAAACAGAATTATTGCTATAATTTTTTTTTTTAAGATTACGGTAAGGGGGTCTTAACCCTTGACTTGGTGTTGTCAGTACCACGCTCTCCCAAGTGAGCCACGGGCCGGCCCTTGCTATATTTTTTACTAGGTTTAGATGAGAGGGTGCATGCTTAAATGACTACAGGGGTCAGGAAAGTAATTTAAGTGAGAGATGAGGATCAGGTGAGAGACCGTGGGGAATGGTGGGAGCTGCATGTGTCTCCAGGACGGTCGCTTTAGAGAATATGGACCCATTGATTCTAGATCTTCTGATTTTTCAAGAGAAGCCAGAACATTGGTTTTTTGTTTTGTTTTGTTTTGTTTTAATTATGTTTTGGAACAGTTTTAGCTTACAGAAAAGATAGTACAGAGAGTTTCCATTTACTCTGTACCGAATTTCTTCTATTATTAATACTTTCCATTAGTATGGTACATTTGTTACAATTAATCAGTATTGACACATTATTATTAACTACAGTCCATAGCTTATTCAGACTTCCTTAGTTTCTACCTAATGTCCTGTTTCTGCTCCAGCATCCCAGCCAGGAAACCACATTGTATTTAGTTGTCATGTCTCCTAGTCTGACTGTGACAATTTCTCAGACTTTCCTTGTTTTTAATGACCTTGTCATTATAGCTCTGAAGTGTGTTCCAGTAGTACCTTTTGATTCTGTCATATAACTTACCGTTCTGTTATACCTTTCCACCCATTTTGCATAGTCTCTGGTATTTTTTTTTTTTAGAAAATGCTTTTATTTATTTGTTTATTTTGGCAGCTGGCCAGTATGTGAATACAAACACTTGACCTCGATGTTGTAACACTGTGCTCTAGCCAGCTGAGCATTAGCCCCTCTGTTGGAATTTGTCTGAAGTTCTTCACATGATGAGACTGGGGTTATGGGTTTTGGGGATGAAGACGCCAGAGGTAAAGTGCCTTTCTCATCACATCATATCAAGGGTACCTGCTGTCAGCGTGACTTACCGCTGTGGACGTTGACCTCCATCACCTGGCTCAGGGAGCATGTGTCAGGTTTCTCCACTGTAAAGTTACTCTTTCTCCTCCTTTTCCATAGTGTACTCTTTGGAAGGAAGTCACTGTGTGCAGCTGACACTTAAAGAGGGGGGATTTATGCTCCCCCCCCAGAGGAATGAATATCTACATAAATTATTTGGAATTCTGCACAGGAGATTTGTCTCTTCTTTTCTATTTATATATTCAATAATTTATATCTGTATGAACTCATGGACATTTACTTTATACTTTGGGTTATACTTCAATACCACTTTACTTTGTTCAAATTGTTCCAGCTCATGGGAGCTCTTTCAACTCGATCCTGTGTCTCTGATGTCCCCCTAGGGTTGGTTTTGTTTGTTTTGAGCACTTCCTTACTTTCTGGCACTATGTGATGCTCCAGGCTCATCTTGTCCTAGAACCAGCCATTTCTCCGTGGATCCCTGGCATCAGATTCTCTAAACAACACAAACAACCACCAAACAAATGCATCAGGGAGCTGTATTTTGCCCACAGGTGGGCGGTTAGTAACCTTCCAGACATTAGAGCAACACTCTCCAGTAGGCCTTTCTATGCTGATGGAAATGCTCTCTATCTCCTTTGTTCAATTCAGCAGCAGATTGCCACATTTCGAGTGGCTACTGAGCACTCAAAATGTGGCTAATATGATTGAGAAACTGAATTTTTAAACTTTATTCATTTTAATTAATTAAAGTTTAAATTTACTCACAGGTAACTCATGACCACCATATTGGATGGCACAGTTCTAAGCCACTGTAAGAATCTGGGCTTTTTCTTGAGTAAGATGTGAAGTTACAGAAGATGTTGAGCAGAACAGTGGAATGATCTAACTCAGATTTGTAAAAGGTCACCTTAGATGCTGTGTTAGGAAGAGATGAAAGGGGGTCAAGGGTGGAAGCAGGGACACTTGCTGGGAGGCTACTGCAGTGCTCTAGAAAAGAGACAGCAGCGACGTGGACCAGCATGATGGCAGTGAGGGCGGAGAGAAGTGGTCAGGTTCTCTACGTATTTTGAAGTTAGGGTCTATGCAAAGAGAATACTTGTCACCTACACACTGTATTTGTGACAAAGACCATGGAATTAAAATTCTTGTCTGTTTGCAGCCTCATTTCTTAGCACTGACTATGGTAGTAGTAAGATAGCTGCTCCAGAGGTAACATGTTAAAACCAGGACTGGCAGGTTACCTCAGTTGGTTAGAGTGCACTGTTGATAACACCAAGGCCAAGGGATTGGATCCCCACACCATCCAGCTGCCAAAAAGCAAACAAACAAAAAACCTGATTGGTTTCCTTTTTCTTGTTTTAAAGAGAATTATGCTGTGCCTTACCTTCAAGCTGCCTCTGTAACAGTAGGGCTGGAGCAAAGAAGACACCCTTTTCGTTATCTTAATTTAAATTATTATTATTATTTATTTATTTATTTTAAAGATGACCGGTAAGGGGATCTTAACCCTTGACTTGGTGTTGTCAACACCACGCTCACCCAGTGAGCCAACCGGCCATCCCTATATGTGATCCGAACCCGCGGCCTTGGTGCTATCAGCACCACACTCTCCCGAGTGAGCCACGGGCCGGCCCCTGTTATTATTATTTTTTTGGCTGCTGGCCAGTACAGGGATCCAAACCCTTGACCTTGGTGTTACAATTAAAAATTTATTTTTTATGCACCCGCTGTTTAGCTTGCATAAAAATAACTACCTCTGTGGTCTTGGGTCATATATAGGTGGGTGGAGGGATAGGACTGACTTGATTTCTATTGGAATTTATGTCAGTCTTATAAGAATTCTGTAACCAGCACTGTCTAATAGAAATATAAAGTGAGCCACACATGTAATTTAAGATTTTTCTGGTTGCCATATTAAAAGGAGTAAAAAGAAGTGGAATTACTTTTAACAGTATATTTTATTTAATCCAGTATATCTAAAATATTATCATTTCAACATGTAACCAGCATAAAAGATTACCAGTGAGGTGTTTTACATTCTCTTTTCTTTGAATCAAATCTTCAAAGTCTGGAGTGTATTTTACACTTATAGCACATCTCAATCCAGAGTGGCCTCATTTCAAGTGCTCATTAGCCGCAGGTGGCTAGTGGCAACCTTATTAGAGAGCACAACTATAAACATTTGTCAAGTTCAGGTTTGGTGGAGGGGAGGTGGCATTCCTACCTATCCTCATTGATATCACAGATACTAGTGATGAATGAATTAAGGAAATATTGTCTGATGTGAGTGGTGGGTAATCTTGCAAAACAAACGAAAAATAAAAATACACCCCAACTCTACCATACTTAGCCTGGAGTTCTCAGTCTGAGGTATGTCTTAATAGCATCTCTAGAATACCTCCTTAAAAAAATCAAATTATCCTCTTTTCCTCCTTTTAGCCACCAGGAAGGATTAACTTTAAATAAAGTTCTGTGATGAGGTTTGCCCTATGAGGAAGCTTTAGTATCTCATCAGACCTGTGCTGGAGGCCCGCTTGCCCTAATTGTGTGTTTTCTGGATCTTTTAGCTGAGGCGGGTCTTTGGAAATTGCCTGCCGCCCTTTCCACCAAAGTACTATCTGGCAATGACTGCCTCTATGGCTGATGAGAGGAGAGACCAGTTGGAACAATATTTGCAAAATGGTATGTATTTGGATTTTTTTTTTTTACATATTTATTGAGATATAAATTCCACACCACAAAATTCACCCATATAATGTATAAAATTCAATGGTTTTTAACATATTTATGTAATTGTACAACCATCACCATAGTCTAATTTTAGAACATTGTCATCACCCCCAAAAGAAGCCTGTACCCATTAGCAGTCACTCCCCATTCCTTCCCCCAACAGGCCCTGCAACTACTACTCTAATTTTTATCTCTATCTTTGCTTATTCTGAACATTTCATATATTTGGAATTATACAATGTATGTTCTTTGTGTTTGGCTTTAAAAATAGTTTACGTTCAGATTTGTCCTCAGGTGCTGTATGTTCTCTTTGATTGTGGAAGTCAAAGAAGTGTTGTCTGGATTAAGACTAAACAAAGGGATGAGATGAACTGTTTACAGAGCAGCTCCCAGGGGACATCAGAGATCTTTATTAGCAGTGCCAGATATGGTACCTCCATCTCGGTCCTCACCAGGAAGCCACACTAAGGCACCAGGGACGCTCACAGGTCTGCTCTGGCCCCTATGAGGCTTATAGTGCAACAGTCTCGCCCATTGTCTGTATCCTGAAAATGCTGTGTACAGCCAAACTGTGGCTGGCAGGATTAAGCTCTCACAGAAAGGAGGGGTTTGACGGGAAATAGCAAAAGTGGCATTAAAATACTTAAAGTTTTTAAAATTGGAAAACAGTCTATACACATAATATGTTTTAAAATATAAACTGCACAAAAGAGCATACGATGAAAGGTAAGTTTCCCTCCCTCTCCAGGCCCCCAGGCCTCCAGAAGTAAACACTATTGCAAGCGGCTTGTGTATTCCCCAAGCGATCTATGTGTATGTAGATCTCTTTTTGTTAATACAAAAATACACACTTTTCTGTACCTGATTTTTTTAAAACTTTTTATTCTGAAAGTCTACAGAAAAAGTTTTACAGAAAAGTTGCAAAAATAGTGCAAAGAATTTCTGTATACTCCTCACCCAGATTTCCCAAAGTTAACATTCTACATTTGCATTATCATTTTTTCCCATGTGTGTATGTGTACACTATGAATGTATACGTTTAATTTGGGGTGGACACTTGAGCATTACACACCTAAGCCATTTTATCCTCAAATGCTTCTGTGTGTGTTTGCTAAGATCAAGGACAAGCTCTCATATAACCACAGTATAGTTAGCAAAATCAGGAAATCAGCATTGGTACAATAATGTTATCTGGAGACTTTATTCAGACTTTACCAACGATGACGCTAAATGTCCTTCATAGCTAAAGAAAAAAGTTTTTTCTTCTGTATGTTCATTTTGTCCTCTTCAAGTATATCACTCTATAGATTATTAGAGATCATTCTACATCAGCAATTGTAGATTTACCTCATTATTTTTCATGGCTGCATATTTTTCTTAAACATAGGAAAATTCTAGAAGCCATCTATTTCCCATTCATTTCTTTTTAGACCTTTGAATAAGCCTTTGCAAGCTGAAAGGTAATATCTTTTGAATTTTCATTCTCTATAGGTTTGCTTTCTCCATCCTGGCAAAATACTCCTTTAATCCCTGGCCTTTTCACAAATGATCACAGTGCTTAAGGGATCACTTTTCCAGACCTGGTCTTTATGCATATCCTCCATTTGTCTCATGTATCCTCTTTGACAAGGTAAAGTGAGGAGACGGTGCAGCTTAGCCTCACAACGGAGAGCACAGGCTCTAGAATCAGACCTGGAGTCAAATTCCACTTTTGCTCTTCACTGGCTGTGTGACACTTACCTCTGAGCCTGTTTCTTTATGGAAATAATATTTACCTCAGGGTTTGTTATAAAGACGAAATGAACTAAACTACACAAAGTGCTTAGCCTGATACTTCATAGCCAAAAGGTAAATATTAGTTGGATGAATACTTTTTTAAACAACTTATCTCATCTCCAAGAATCCATGCTAATAAATATAGTTTGCCTATATGCTATATATATTCCAGAAAATAAGGCAAGGGCTTTTCCCTCCTGCATTTACTCCTTAGAAGAGAGGGAATGCCTTTTATAAAACATCTCTTATGTCAGAGAAGTTCACTTTCTTAATTTTGAAAAACATGGCACTGTTGGGGAAAGGCACAACCTGTGATGATGTTAGTCAGTGCTAGTTTTAAATGCTAGTGGAGTTTATTTTGATGAAATCAGTAAAACAGCAACAAAAAGAAAAGAAAGGAAGGAAATTTGATACCAATGTTGCATATTTATAAATTTAGCTAAAATGGGGGGTCTAGAGGAGGACCTGTGGGAAAGGGGTAAGACAGGAGGGACCAGGTGGGGCAGTGCCTTGTGTCTGTGCATCTGCTCTAGCCTCAGCACCTGGCAATGGGTATCTGGAGCTTCAAAACCAAGGGGGTAACATTTTTGTTAGTATAGAAGAATAAACCAATTTAAATTTCCCTGACTGCCTTATCGTCGCTTTGTTTGGTAACCTCTCAAGAGCTCCATCGTTCGAAGAGGTGCTCTCAATCCATGTTTCCTGGTTGATTTAAACTTTTCAAATTACCAGGTGCTAAGCTGGGAGTCTAGACCCAACTTTTAAGATGCTTTTGCTTCTTCACAGGAACTTCACTATCATCCTGGTAGGGCAGCCCCCATGTTTCCTGGTTGATTTAAACTTTTCAAATTACCAGGTGCTAAGCTGGGAGTCTAGACCGAACTTTTAAGATGCTTTTGCTTCTTCACAGGAACTTCACTATCATCCTGGTAGGGCAGCCAGAGCCTGGACTTGGGTAAAATATATTCTTTTTGAATAGATTGGAGATGGGTTTCTATTCTGTTCTTTTGGAGGTTTAGATTCTAGATGGAAAATGAAGTGTGTCACTCAACATTTGGCTCATTTTAATAAGCAGATATCTTTTCCTATAGTCTAAGCATCATACATCTCAAAACTGACCATGAGAAAGACAGCCTTGGAGCGTTGAAAAAGAACTACAGCTTTTATCATTAAGGGATCCGTAGGGTCTGTGACCCTAGTTCTGTAGCTGAGATTTCCAAGTTGAGAAGTGATGTCTTCATTGAGTTTTTAAAACTGGTTCAGCTGGTAAGCTTGCTCTTCCTTCCTAAGGTCATATTTCTCTGCAGAATATGTCTCTTTGTTAACCATATTGAAACAGAGTAAGGCTAGGCCTTTGAGCCAAACTGACTCCATTTTCCCTGCAGAGGACACTTTGTTATTTTTCCACTCTTCAGTCAGGAGACCCCCAGGGCAAAGGATTACCCCATGGGCTGCCCTGACAAAACTGACTGAGATAAGAGAGGAAACAGATATTTACTGAGTTGCAAACCCCCTCCCCAAGGCTTGTTTACTATAATTGTAAAAGTTACAGATTAACCTTAAGACCCCTTTAGGAATTCCTACCTGTGCACAAAGCATCAAGGTGACTGCTACAATGACCCTCCTGGGGTGACAATGATGAACACCACTGCCATTTTGGACCTACTGAGCATGTGCCCATGATGCAACAAGGAAGAACAGAATGGACCACCTCCAGTGACGCTGGGCTATACCCCTTAACTCCTTTCCCTATGAAAGACCCTCGGGAGGCTGGCTTTACTGTCGCTACTCGCCTTATGCATAAGTCTGTCTCCTCTTTTAATAAAGCGTTGCTTGCTTTACTGTTGGGTACATTGTTTATTTCTATGACTTTGGAATCCGAGAGCCTAATTTAATCACTGGCAAAAATTGGAAAACTTTGGACACCAGAGAAGACTCCAGCTGCAAGAGGCAAGTGGCCACTGGGACTATTTTGCTCCCATGTCTCTGCTGCTGGTAGATCTCTCTCCTGGAGTCTCTGGCCTAAATTCTGACAAGGCAATGCGTTGTTCTCTTTACCTTTCTCTGATTTTCTGAGCCCTCTTCTGCTGTTTGGTTGGATTGTATCCCCTACTACGTAGGTGCACCCTGGAGGACTCCCAGCTACACTTTGTTTCTGATTTTCCGAGCCCTCTTCTGTTCTGTATAGGTGCACCCTGGAGGGCTCCTGACTATGCTTTGTTTCTCTGACTTAAATCTAGTTGATACTTTTCTTCTTTATGCTGAAAACAGTGGGGAGAACTGCTTTTTTCAATTACTGTTAATGGAATAGGTTGGCCCCTCTGATTAGGACTAGGCTAAACTGGACCCCACTGCTCCTCTTTTCTCTTTGTTTGTTTGCTTGGTTAGACATTTAGTTGAGTACCAGGAATCTGAATAAACCTTCCAATTCTTGCACCAACTTTTGGACTTTAGGGTCATTTGTTTAATGCAAGAGGGCAAGCCGAGCCTGGCCTGTCCGTAACAATATGTGCATGCCCATGTGCAGGTGCGTGCTTCTGGCCGCCAGCCCCGCAGAGCCTGGACTTGGGTAAAATATATTCTTTTTGAATAGATTGGAGATGGGTTTCTATTCTGTTCTTTTGGAGGTTTAGATTCTAGATGGAAAATGAAGTGTGTCACTCAACATTTGGCTCATTTTAATAAGCAGATATCTTTTCCTATAGTCTAAGCATCATACATCTCAAAACTGACCATGAGAAAGACAGCCTTGGAGCGTAGAAAAAGAACTACAGCTTTTATCATTAAGGGATCCGTAGGGTCTGTGACCCTAGTTCTGTAGCTGAGATTTCCAAGTGTGCCACTGTGGGCCATACCAGCTGTTGCTTCTTGTATGTTCTCTGCTCCTAACTTTATTGTAAATGGATCATGGAGAAAATTTAGCGTGAACAGAATGACACATAGCAGCCCCTTTCCTTTGTTGGGTTAATGAACCACTGGCCTTTGCCTCCTAGAGCTGAAACATTGCTAAGTAAGTCCATTTGTTTAGTACATCGGTCTAATTGTACCTACGGAAACATTTTTTATGCCAGTGTGTATGAGCTTGACTGCATGGAATAGCTCTGAAAGGATTGAAGTTGTACTATTGTATGATACTATTGAACTGGATTCCTAGCGAGGGGAGGAATGATACCTTCATCAGATTTGCAAAAACTAGAGCAAGTTTCGTTTAAACAGGGGTTTAGGGTGTTAATGTATTTACTGACCCACTCAACCTGAGAAATGGCCCTAGAGCTTTCTGCCGTGTTCATGTTTTCACAAACGCTTGGTGGTTTAAATACACACATACTCTCTTTCTCTTTGAAAATTTGTTGCTGAGGTGGTGATGGTGTGGTGATGGTAATAAATTCAAACAGCACAAAAGTGAAAATGAAAAGTAACTTTTTCTCCCCGGCAGTCCCCCTCCTCAGGGACAACTGTTAATTCAGTTTAATGCATTCTTTCTACACATTTCTGTGCATATACAAACATCTATATATATACATTTTATTTTACAAATAAGCACATACTCGGCACTTTTTTTTTTTTTTCCTTTTTTGTCTTTTTCCATGTCCGGCAACGGATCGCAACCCTCAGTGTCGCTCCCGTACCGGACCAGGACCGGCAACGGGATCGCAACTCTCGGTGTTGCTCCCGTGCCTCGCTCAGCCAGTGAGCAGGATCCAGTCTGTATGTGGGATCCGAACCCTCAGCGGGAGAGCCGCCGCGCTTCCCAAGCGGTGCACTATAGCAGTGCGCCACCGGGCTGGCCCCATCGGCACACTTTTTGAACATTGCTTATTAAAACTTACATCTTGCAGATTATTTCGTATCAGTACATATAAAGGTAAGTTAGATCTTAGTTCTGTCATCTTTTTGGAGTACATTATGGGTTTTGCTCTCAGTGTTTTTTAAAAATAGTTCATGGGGTATCAAGGTTTTGGAGATTTGCTTTGTGTATTTTTTTTTTTTTTTTTTGCCCCTGATGATTGGAAAGGTTTTTACCTGAGTTAATTTAGTTCTCTTAATATTTTACCTTTGTAACTTTATGCAAAAAACTTATGTCCCCAGCTGCATTTTGCAGTGTCTCTTCTTGCTGCTTCTGATGTGATTTTCAGATTCCTAATGGCTTTATTTTTCTCTTCCATTTCTTCCATAAACTTAGCTAGCTCTTTTTTATGTCCTTTTATCTTACATCTTTCTTGAGGTCTTTGCTCTTTGAGGTCTTTGTTCATAGAAGCTGTGTTTTTGTTAATGCATCCATCATTTTCATCTGCTTAGTGGCATAATTTTTCAGGGATTCTTTTTGCCTTTATTCGAGCACATTTCTTTCCTCCTTTCTTGCAGGATTTTTGCATAGGTCCCTTGCTAGTTCTTTCCAGGTCATTGTTCAGTTTTGAAAAGACTGTTCTTTGGGAGCTAGCTGTCTGCTGATACTCAGCGTTGGGGAGGGGCTGCATTGAGTCAGTTGAATCTGTTGTATTTCTGTGGATCTTACCTCATGTTTCAGAGCATTTCCTCACTAGCACTCTGCTCCAAAGCCCAAGCAGTCTGCCCAGCAGGGAAGCCATAACACCTCCTTCTGTCATGATTTGGAATTCTAAATCTTTTGTTGACTAAGATCAACATCACCAGAATCAGCTTAGTGGTTGAGTTCTGACTCAGAAGTGAGATGGACTAGGTTCAAATTTTGGCTGCCCTACTTTTGATTTATATGAATTGGGGCAATTTACTTAGCCTCTTTATATGTCAGTTTCCCTATCTGGAAAATGGGTAGAAGAGCTCCTTTATTGTAAGGTTGCTTTGAGGATTAAATGAACTGATACCCTTACATCGTGTTAACACTTATGAGGTAGTCACACCGTTATTCATGCCAGTCCCTTTTTCTCCTCCCAGCTATGCTGAGATGGCTTTTGCCTCTCCAGCTTCCCCTGCCACTAGGTGGTGTCAGATAGGGCTCAGAGCTGTGCTCCCTTACATGCTGAGCCTCGCGGCACCTCGAGATCTCTGCTTCCCTCCTGACACATCAGGTGCGATTTTCACTGCACTTGGCAGCCCTTCTGAAAACCCAGGGGTTCAGCTTCTGGGCTGTTGTCAAGTTTCTTCACAGATGGTTTTCCTTCTAATTGTTTTCTACTTGCCTCCAAAAGTAGAGCAGGACAGAGGTATCTTTGCTCCTGAAGATGTTCATAAAGGAGGTTTTACAGTATGATTTTTTTTTTAGTTAGAAAATGAAATTTATTGCTTACAGTTTCTGAGGCTGGAAAGTCCAAAGTCCAGGGAACACATCTGGTGAGAGCCTTGGTGGTAGCAGCAGCGATCCAGGGGTCTCACATGGCAGAAAATGGCAGAGCAGAGAGAGACTAACCTCTTATGTGCTTTTCTTTTAAAGCCCTCAGAACCACGCCTCTGACCACCATTACTAATCCATTCAGTAGGGCATGGGTCCTACAATCTAATCACCTCTTCAAGGCCCTACCTTTTAGTTACCATAATAGGATTTCCTACCCTCAACAGTTACAGTGGGAATTAAGCTTCTAATATATGAACTTTGGAGACACAATTCAATCGATTCACAGCATTCCGCCGCTGGCCCCCAAAGTTCATGTCCTTCTCACAGGTAAATACACTCATTCTACCCCCGAAGTCTTACTTATTTCAACTCCAAAGTCCCATCTATGAAATCAAAACAAGTTATCTACTTCCAAGATACAAAGTCCCATTGTCCTTCTCACAGGTAAATACACTCATTCTACCCCCGAAGTCTTACTTATTTCAACTCCAAAGTCCCATCTATGAAATCAAAACAAGTTATCTACTTCCAAGATACAATGGTGGGACAAACATAGGGTACATATTCCCATTCCAAAAGGGAGAAATAGGCCAAAAGAAAGGAATAACAGGTCCCAAACAAGTCCGAAACCCAGCAGGGCAGGCAGTATTAAATCTCAAAGCTGGTGAATCATGTACCTTGACTCTATGTTTGACCTCCTCTGCATGCTGTTGTGGGGGTTGGGTCTCCAGGTCCTCAGGCAGCTCCACTTCTAAGGCTTTCCTGGTCTCAGGTGATGCTTTAGCTCTCCCAGGCTGGCATCACACACTGGTAGCTCCACAGGTCTGGGGTCTCCATGGTGGTCCTGCTCCCACGGTTTCACTAGGCATGAAGCTGTTGAGGTTTCTCTGCTGCAACTCCGACCCCACGTTTCTGCTCAACATTGCTCTAGCAGAGGGTCTATGTGGTGAATCCACCCCTGTGACAGATCTCTTCCTGGGTCCCCAGGCTTTTCCATACATCCTTTGAAATCAGGGTGGAGGTTCCCAAACCTCCACAGTTCTGGCATTCTGCAAGCCTGCAGACCTAACACCATGTGGACTCTGCCAAGGCTGCCGGTTTGTGTTTTCCAAAGCTTCAGATCCAGCCACACCTAGGGTCAATTTAGCCATAGTTAGAGTAGCCAAAGCAGCCAGGGTGTTGGTGCTGGAAGCAGCTTCCCTAGGTGGCCCTGGGCAGTGATCCTGTGGAGGTTGCCTCATGCCTGTTCCCCGAGGCATTCTGTCTCCCTAGTCCTCTGAGCCTGTAGTGGAAGACAAAACCTCGAAGATCTCTGAAATGCTTTCAAGGCCTTTCTCTCATTCTCTACTACATGGCCAGGCTGCTGCAAACTTTCTAAATCTTCATGCCCTGTTTCCCTTTCTTCTGTACTAATTTCCTTAGTTAATGGTCACTGGGCTACACCCTTGCTTTCATGGCCAGGTTGAAAGTTTTCCAACTTTTTGCTCTCTGCTTCCTTTTGAATTATAAACTGTGGCTTTATGTCATGCCTTTTCTGCCATAACTCACCATAGGCTCTTGCAAGTAGCTATGCAGCTTTCTGAATCTACAGTACGATTTTGAAAAGAAAATTAAGTTTGAATCAGGAAGGTTGTCATGTGTTCATTATGCTCTGCCCTTCTCTATCCTGTCATTTTTTGTTTGTACAGTTGACAACTATGTATTAGATGGATGCTGTGAGCCAGCACAGCTCTAGAGATGGGGGACACATGAGTAATAATACCCAGTCTGGTTCATGGAGTTTACTATCTTGTTGGGGAGATAAAAGTCACTGGGCATGGTCTTAAATGCAGTGAGTACTATGATACGTGACCAAGCACTACGATTGGGACCTAGAGGACTGGGCACCATGCTGTAGGACCGACACTGTGATACTGGACCATGCTCCAGGAAAGGGTTAGAGATGTGTCGAGATTTCATGCCACCACCTGCAGTGGCTTCGTGCCTACTTATGCCAGTGTGTAGTACAAATATCGTCATTTTCTATGTGTGACCTGGTGAGAAGAGGGCTGGGGGCACTGCCACAGGATGAGTGTGTGACTGGGAGACATGGGAGAGGGTACCATGGTCAGGAAGATCTAAAGGAAGTGACATCTAAGCTGGTATTTGCAGGTTTCCAGGGTGGGTAGGGAGGGAAGACTATATATACTCCAGTTTTTGTTTTTTTCATTTTTTTCCCATTGGGGAGGAAAAAACAACAGACATAACATCTCAAGGTCTGGGGAGACTCAGGCCTGACATTAGTGGAAAGGAAGCAGTAACCACTTATTATTGGGGGTGAGTCTGCTCCCACTGCCAGTAGACCCTTCCCCTGACCCCCCTCCAGGGCCAGAGTGATTTATTGGTAGTAAAATGCTGCAGTAAATACAGGAGAGAAATGGCTGGCTGAGCTTGCAGCAATATTGCTCCTGCAGGGCTGGTGGGAGGCTGGCAGGACTGGAATGAGCAGTGGTGATTTGTGGATTTGCCAGACTATGAAGGGAGCCCAAGCAGCAGGGATTAGGTGGTTTCTCCGCCTGGGTATTCTCACTGTATTGGATGAGTGCAGCAGCCTGCAGTTTCCAAGTGGTTATTGCCAAACAATCACATGCTCCAGGCCTGGCTCTCCGGGGCTCAGCATACCCAAGAGCGTCTTTCTGCCTCTGGGTAAAGACACAGTACATTAAAAACATGAATATGTGTGACCTTTCAGGAGCCCTTCTGAGGAAAGCCTCTGTCAAGGATGGCCAAAGCCAAGCTGCAGTAACAGGAGGGGTTTTGCCTCTGAAGGGGCGTCTAACCTGCCAGCCCCAGTGCTTCACGTGCAGTACCTCATTTATTTCTCACAGCTTGCTGAGGGAGATGTTATTATTATCATTTCTTCAGCAAAAGTAACTTGTCCAAGGGCACTCATCTAATAAGTTAAAGAGCTGTGTGGTCCAAACCTCGGGAGCCTGGATCCAGAACCCCCTGTTCCACTGATGTAATGAGATCCTTTAGAATGGCGGTAGCCCACCCACCCTTGCCCCCTGTCTGATCCCCCTTGTTTTGTGTATCTAGGTCTCCTCCGACTTACTATGCTCTGGCTTTTTGCCCTGTGATCACCTTAGAGGTAAACGGCCTATTGAAAAGGCAAAACAAAAGTTTTTAGACTGTTGACATTTTTATGTTCCTGGCTCTTAAACTGGAGTGTTCTAGGGCCCCGTGTGAAACATGTTTGAGAAAAAGAAGACTGAGAAGGCATTTGGAGTGGGTTTTGTGTGCCTGGGAAGTTAGGGGCAACTTACTTATTCAGGAAGTTTTGTCCATTGTGGCTGTGCTTGGGGGCTCTGGGAAGTGACTGTTTCCCTATTTCCTTTTTTTTTTTTTTTTAAAGATGCCTGGTAAGGGGATCTTAACCCTTGGCTTGGTGTTGTCAGCACCACGCTCTGCCAGTGAGCGAACCGGCCATCCCTATATAGGATCCGAACCCGTGGCCTTGGTGTTGTCAGCACCACACTCTCCCAAGTGAGCCACGGGCCGGCCCTCCTAATTCCTCTTAAGAATGTTTTCCATTTCCCTTATAGAGAAGTGATTAGGGCCCGTCATTAAGTTTGTTGGAAGTTTAGAGCTTGGAGAGTCCATGTATGGACCTTGGGTAAGAAACCTCAGGAATAAGCACCATGGCTATCAGACATTTCTCTGTCTCAGGGCAGAATATCACCAAAGTACATTGATCTCCCTGAGAAATTTAAAGATTTCTCTGGTTGTTATATCCAATTGAAAAGAGCACATGTTTTAAAATGCGTTAAGACAGCCCATGGTATTGGAGGGTTTCGAGGTTTCTTAACCTCGAAATCTGAAGTGGGGCAGTCTTGTGAAACTGAGCCCTTTAACTTGGGCATCTGATGTGAACTCCAGGTAACTGTGTTGTGATTGCATTGTTGGATACACACTTGGGATCCAAGAATTGGAGAACTGGTTACTGCGAAGAAAAACCCCACACATTTAGTGTCAGAAAGTATCTGAGATATGAACTTTTAGGGATGCTTGGAAATATTCAAAAATGGGAGAGTTAATTATGAGCCTATCCAGGATATAAAGGATTTTATCAAAACCTTTTCCTCCAAAATGGATGCTCTGTTGTTTATTTGGAAATTATTCAAGCTTCATGTTATTGCTTTGCCTCAGCCCCTCTCCACACACCTCCTCACCCCCTCTACCCACTAACCGCGCCCTCCCATGTCTGCACTGGGCTCTTGTGTGCGTCAGGTGCTGTATGCCTGAAGAGCTCCAGGGACAGGAAGCTACTGATTGTTCACCTGCAGTTTGAAAGATACTGTGTAAGTTTATTTTGCTTTCCTTTTGTTTACAGAACACATTTAACATCAGTACCAAAAAAGCTTCTCTGGATATATTTCTGCCCAATGGAAGGAGTATTAAAGTCGAAATCCTAACATCAGATACTGCTGAAAGAGTCCTGGAGGTAAACTTTGAATTTAGGAATAATTGTTTGAAAAGCAGGGACTAGCATACTGTTATTTCCGGAAGCTTTCTGTCTATTGTTTTACTCCGTGGATGACTTTTCTGCAGAGGTGTTGGGATTTACTGGGAGACTGACCAAGGACCCTGAGATTCAGCCAATCATCCATGGTCTCTTTGACTTTTACCCTCCCTGTGGGCATCGATTTTCCAGAGATCTCTTAGGGCTTCCTATAGCTGCTGTCACTTCCCTGGAACTTAGCCAGGGATGTGGCCTGGAAATATGCAAATTGCCTAATTTTAGGATGCCCCATGGTTGGGAGCAGGAAGGAGGGCAGAACCTAGATGAGTCTGAAACAGGCCACACCTAGGTGGGTGGTGACGGGTCCTGGCCTAGGGTGATGGGATTTCTGGAAGGCTCCTCCTCCTCCACAGGGAAAACCCTAATGTGACGCTGGTGCTCTGTCAGGTCTAATACCAGGCACAGAGGGCCAGACCTGAGTTTTAGTCAACTCTCTGAGCTTTACAAGGACGAGCCCCAGAAAGCATCCTGTCTTCTCTGGATGTGGCGTCCCCAGCTCTGCCTCTCGACCTTTCCTCCTCTGCCCAGCTGGGCTACAGAGGGGATGCTGTCTTCTCATACCCACATGCTGCTCCTATGGACTGGCTCCTGGCCCTTTTCCTTTGGAGGGTATTAGTTCTAATCTTCCAGAGAAACATACAGGAGAATAAAGAGTTATAAACATGAGGAAGTTGGGAAGTTTCTGGGATGCTGGGGTTAGGGTTTCTGACCTCTTCTGAGCTGGGACACAACACGGGAGTGCTCCCTGGTGGGCTCCTGCCTTCAGGCTGCCTTTACCTAAGACCCAGCCAGCATCTGACTCCTCTTCCCAGCCTGGAGGTCCAAGCCTGCCCGTGCCCTCCTGGCTTGAGAGGAGCAGCTTGCTTCCCTGGATTAGGAAACACCCATTCTCTAGATCTTGGTCCTGCCCAAGAATGTCTATTTTGGACCTTTCTTTCTACTAAAGTCACCGAGTACATCCCACCCCTATCTTGTCTAGACCTCTGTGTTTCTGGCATGGTTGAATAGTATCAGCAGCACCCGCTTGCTGAGACTATCAATGGAGAAGTTCTCCTAGGGCCCTCCTCCTTCACCCCCAGGTCCCTCTAACCCTGTACCCCAAAGCTCTCTCATATTCATTGCCTTTCCATTGCCTCCGCTCCATCCCCACGCCCTGACCTTAGTTCCAGCCCTCAACATTTCATAGCTGCCCCTAACTAGTCTCCTTGATTCCAGCCTTGCTAATCTTCTGTGTTAATTTCCAGACAGTCTTTCTGAATGTGTGAGGGGATTTGTACCCAAGAAACAAAAACACATTTTCCTAGATTGACTTCCCAGGACCTACAAAGTGTTAGACAGACACATAAATGAAGGGGAGAAGGACAGGAATAGTGAGAATGGAGGCCACAAGCTCAGATGTGTCCGGGGCCAGACAGGAAACTTGGGTGCAGCCTCACGATGGGAGATAATTTGGAAATGGTGGGGACTGTGCAGAACTGGAGAGCACCTGCCCGCCTGAAGACATCATCATTGACATGTTTTTCACACACTGGGCTCACAGGTCAAACCAGCCATACCTACAGCTGAAGTTGGTGGTGGTGGTAGCTCGGGGTCTCCTATCTGCTGGGGTCAGGATGAGCCCTGGATTCAAATTTTAGCACTGCCTCGTAGTAGCTGCGTGAGTTTGGGTAAGTTGCTTAACCTTTCAAGACAACGTCTAAGTGATTATAGAAATAGTTCATGTTCCCTAAACAGGGGCAGTATTAATCACTATTGGTGGTGTTATTGATATTAGAGGGAGTGCAGAATAAGTACTGAGGAGGGCTTAGTCCAGGGTTCCACAGTACCATCTGTTTTGTCCAGTGTCCCTTGAAACTAATAGCATAGATTTGATGAGGTACATATATGGTCTTTGGGAAACATGCTTTTTCCTCTTCCAATCACATTGGCTTGTGGGAAATTCAAACCCATGACACGGACATCATTAGATTAGGTAAGTTTAGCTGGAGGTTCTACCTTAGAAGTGGTAGAGTTTCCATAAAAGGAAAAGTGAGCACTTGGCCAGCCGTAGATGTCAATTCCCTCCCAGGGGCTGGGGAATTCTCTAGCTTGCACAGAACTGTAATTTAAATTTTGTCATTAAAAACCATTTTCTGCATCTTTCCCAGCATACTTGCTTCCACTTACACTTTGCTTCCCCTGTCCACCTCACCCCCTCCTGCTCTTTAAGGGCTGTCAACAAGCTAAAATCTAGTGCTACTGTAGTTTACTGACGGTATTTGTTTTGAGTCATCATCAACATTTGCTAAGAGGGAAAATATTACTGTGTCTCTTTTTGCGATGTGCTCACTTCTCTCAAAAGAAAGTGTTTGCATTTATGTCTTTATGAATTACAAAAGGCTTCTCCAGTCTCCTTTTTGTCCCCCCACTTCTCTGTCTGCCTTGGCATGTAAACTTGTTGATTTCACTAAATGAGTCAGAAAAATGAGAAATCTAATCCAAGTGGACATGGGTCAGGTTTACTCTAGGAAAAGATATCTTTACTACTCTAATACCTACCCCACACATTCACCCCCATGCACAGAAGAACATGTGCTTTGGTTTTGGGTGTTTTGCAAGGGCATGATAGAAAGAACGCGAATGCACGTTGAGTGAAAGTAGTGAAACCATTCCTCGGCTCTTGTTTATTTCCAAAGCTATGCTGGGAAGATCCACTCATACCAGTTGCCTGGTCAGACTGCGTCATGAGGTAATTTACAAATCCCTGACAAGAAAAGTACCCCTTCGCGCCTGGCATTTGTACAACTGCCACCTAGAGAATTGGGAGCTGTGGTTAGAGTCAGCTCGTGCGCAGTGCTTTGAAGGCGAATCCTCGTATGTTATAGAGGTGATTGGGCAAGTTAAGACTGGGAATGCAAAGAAATCACTCGCCATCCCAGGATTATAGAGAGGCCGGTGGGTGGGTGGGTGGGGGGAGATAGCCTGTGGTGGTGTGGAATTCCTGCTAAGAGAATGTGAATGGATGCACGTGTGAGGTTACAGCCTGATGACCCGATGGCAAAAATGAAACCACTGGTGTTGAAGTGAGAGCCTTTGATACGAAGAAGAATATGAAATGAAGGCAGCCCATGCCTGGGATCTGAGGTTTTCACTGAGCAAATGCCATCATAAATTACACTTGACCATCGCAAGAAACATCAAAGAGAAGCAGGCCTGGGTGTCAAAGGAAGACGGTAGCACGTGTACTTTTATACGCTAGCTGAGCAGTGGAGAATGACTCTTTTCCCAGTATCTGGTAATCCAGACAAGAGGAAGTCATACTTCTGTGTAAGCCCCAGGGCAGATGTCACAGCAGGACAGATGTTGGTGGAGAATGGCTGCTGCCCTCCAGGGGACAGTAGAGACCAAGATGATCGGGAAACGCATCCACATCTGAAATGGGACAACCAGCCTCAACTGAGGCCAGTCTCTGTCTATTGTGGGACTGATTTCTATTTTCTTCACTCTAATTTTATGTATTTCTAAATTTTCTAAAATGATGATATACCATTTTTAGATTCCAAAAGATTTCTTTGAATACCCACTAGCCCATGAAAGCACGTTTTATTGATGTGTACAGGCAACTTTAATTCTGCATGTCACAGTTTGGAAGCACAGTGGCCATGCTTAACTTTCCCTTCTTTTGCTTGTCTTTGGTTAAAGGTGGTGTCACACAAAATTGGACTGTGTCGGGAGCTCTTGAGCTACTTTGGTCTCTTTCTCATTCGGCTTTGCAAGGAGGACAAGCTCTCTGGTAAGAGGAATGAGGGCAGCCAGCGCGTGGGGTGGGTGGGTGTGAGCAGGGGCTCAGCCCAGTGGATGTGGGAGTCACAGCTGAGGGGACCCTCACCCTCAAGTGTGTGGTCCCTCCCACTGTTCTCAGTCCCCGGACCAAAGGTTCAGGGGATGAGAGGTTGCGTCCTTGTTCAGGGTGAGTGGGGGACGAGCAGCTCCGAGAGGTGGCACGGTCAGGAGCAGGACCTCAGATCACTCCAGTAGCTGCACTTCCTCTGTGCCTCCCACAGTCCCTGTCCTGATGTCCCTCTCCCCTTTTCCCGTGGGCCTGGCCCCTGACCACCAGCCACGCCACAACCTCCTTGTGAAGGCAGTGTTAGACTCCAAGTATCAGGATATCCCACCACGGCATCACCTCTCCTTGTCGAGGACTATTTATAAAATGTAGATGATACAAATGCATTTTTATTCTTTACAAAAAAGTGTAACAAGATAGTGAAAGATGGCAATCCGATACACATAGCTTTTGCTTTTCTCTCCAATATGTTCTAGACATTACAAGGTTTTTAAAGTTGTGACATGGTATCAGTTATCCTCAAGTTGTAAATATGCGTCCTCAAGAAGCTGTAGGGAGGTGGTTTTGAGTTGGAAGTTAAAGAGTTTGGCTCAGTGGCTCGGAGCTGTGTGCTGGCGAAGGTGCTGGCTATCTCTGGACCTTTCTATTTATCTATATCATAGTGTAAAATATCCCCTACTCAGGGTGCTGGTATTTTAAGAGGAACAAATAATATTTATTTTTTGAATGAACTTCAGAAAGTTAAAAATTTCATGTAAATGCAAGAGAATTTTGTTATTGTGATTTTATTCTTACCAATAAAGTCTCACTTTCTCATCTTAAAGCTTCTGTGTATAAACTACCTGTGCTCTTTCATCCAGTAATGCTGCCTTTCTCCTTCCTCCAGTTATGAAAAAATTGGCAGACTTTGAACTCCCGTATGTTAGCCTTTGGAGTTCTGAAGTGGAAGGCTGCAAGGTCGGGCTCAGAAAGTGGTGAGTAAGTGCTTAAGGTGACAGGAGGGGCTTGGGGATGTCTGACCACTGCTGATCAGAGCTTGTCAGTATCACACCACATCCACTCACAGCCCACAGCAGGAGAGACCAGGAACTTGGTGGAAGGTTAACTGGAAAGCAATGAAGAAGAGGGAGTGTGAAATGAACCAGAGTGTTTGTCCTAAAAAATAGCGTGTGGAGGATGACTTCCACTGGTCTCAGGGGTATTAAAATGAGGATGGTGGGCCGGCCCGGTGGCGCACTGGATAGTGCGCCGCTTGGGAAGCGCGGCAGAGCTCCCGCCCGAGGGTTCGGATCCCACATACAGACCGGTTCCTGCTCACTGGCTGAGCGAGGCGTGGGAGCAACACCGAGGGTTGCGATCCCGTTGCCGTTCCCCGGTCCGGTACGGGGGCAACACTGAGGGTTGCGATCCGTTGCCGGACACGGAAAAAGACAAAAGACAAAAAAAAAATAAAAATAAAAAATAAAATAAAATGAGGATGGTGGCCGTGGCAAACAAGAAAGTAAGGCTTGAAGAACAGGGGCAGGGAGGGTATTGAAATGGGTAACAGCGAGAAATGGCTGGCTGTGGGTTTGCCCTGGTTACTGACTGTATTAATTGAAGAAATTTGTTGATGGTTACAAGCAGGTCTGATTCATCTGTTGAACTGTGGTATTCCCTGAAGGCAAAAGGTGGACTCAACCAATTTGCAATGAATTTGAACTCTTAAGTATTCGGCTTACATTCCTAAAGAGTATGTACCAGGGCCACCCATATTCCTTGATTGATAGGACACAAGTGACCCTCTGCAGAAGATACCGTTATTTCCCCCCGGAAATAGGGGGTCCTATAGAGAGCAAACGAACAGAAAATAACAATGGGAAGCAGGACACTTGCCCTCTCCCAATCGTCTAATCTGTAGTTCCCAGTGATTATTACCATGGCAGTATTGGGCTGCTATTTAGGTTCACTCTCTCCCAGCTGAGTTATTCAGTCATCTGAGCACAGAATCTGTAAAGAAAGGTGTTTTTGAAATCTAGGAATAGTAGTTAGCTTGACCTTGTGACACTTTGCTAAAGCTCCAGTTTGTGGCTTTGAATTTTGGAAGGATATTCCCAGCAAAACTAGGATATTTCAAGTTTATATACAGCTGTTTGAAAGTATTCCAAGAAACGGTCAAAATCTTGTGGCATGGAACCCTGAGAAGGGAGAAGGACTCAGCTCCTTCAGTTACATAAATGATCTAACTCCTGGGACTATGGGAGTCTGAAAGTTTACAATGTGGGGAGAGAGACTGAGGGAACACAACTGAGGTGGAAAGCCTGGGCAGGAGGTCCCCAGAACAGCTTAGGTGACAGACGAGGTGGACTGGGTACAGGATAGCAGATATGGTATGGGCACGTATGGGGCAGGTGACTGTGCCAGGTATTGGGTGTGGAAAGGGAATCCAAAACTTGGTGCCCAAGAGTGAGGCTGAGCCCAAACAGGGATGCAGACCATTCCCCTAAAGCTTTATTTTTTGCGTCTTTACTCTCAAGGCCCACCAGGCAAGAGCTTACAGTATAATGAAAACAGGAAACAGAAGAGGTGGAGGGACAAATTGAAGGCTAAGCAAGTATAGGTGTGTGGCTTTGTTAGAAAAGGGGGTGCTGCCTCCTAGGGCAGAGGCCACCATGTTGGAGAGCACTTACTCTCTGGCATGCCCATTAGCCATGTCATATGAATTAATTTGACGCTCCTGAATTGTGCAGGTATATGGATCCATCCCTCGACTCCATGCTGATGGACTGCAGAGTGGCCGTAGATCTGCTCTACATGCAGGTGAGGGTCAGCAAGAACTCTCACAACACCATAGATTGTAGGCCATTTTGGTTTGGAATCATTCCAAAAAAAATAGTAGTCGTTAAGAATTCTACCTCCATACCTACAACAGACAAATTCGTAGAGACAGAAAGTAGAGTAGAGGTTACTAGGGACTGGAGGAAGTGGGGAAGGGGAAGTCATTGTTTAATGGGTGCAGGGTCTTTATTGGGGGATGATGAAAAGTTGTAGGTAAAGATAGTGGTGATGGTTATACAACACTGTGAATGTATATGATGCCACTAAATCATACACTTACAAATAGTTAAAATGATAAATGTTATGTTGAAAATATTTTACCATGATAAAATAAGTCAAAATTTTTAAAAATGTAGTAGAGGCATTCAGAGACAGAAAAAAAGACTTGTACAACTGTTTTAGCAATCACTCTCTGAATTTGCAGCTGGACACTCTGCCTTCTAAGCTAATGTGACATGAGCCTAGAAAGGATATCCCTGATAGGTTAAGGTCACACATGGTCCCTAAATCTCACTCTGGCATAACCTTCTTTCCCCTGAGCCAACAAGCAGCACAGCTGCCCCAGGTGGCTTCATGGACACATGGCCCGAGCATTTTCACTGGGCCCTACGCTTGGAAGGGCCTGTGCTTAGTTAATGCTCTGTTGTTCCCATCTTGAAATTTTTAATGATCTTTGAACAGGGGACCCTATATTTTCATTTTTCACTAGGTAGGCCCTGCAAATTATGTAGGTGGTCTTGCCTACTTCTATCCCCCAGTCTCCAAAAAGGTAAATTCAGGGTTTGTCCTCTTTTCCTTTCCCCAGCCTCATGTGGTGAAGGTTCTGCTATGCAGTTAAGATGGTAGGCAGATGCTGCCTCAATGACACCACCTCTGGGAGCCCACCGCAGTTCTCCACCTGCTTCACCAGCTGCCCCCAAGTGTTCACTGTCACCAAGTCACCATCTTCAGAGACCTGATCCTTTCTGGGCCTGGCTTGACAATTCAGGGAGGGACATTCAGAAACTTCTTTCAATATCCCACAATCTATTCTCAATCAGCAGGCAGGGTGGTGGGTCATATTCTTGCCCTGTTTAAACTCTGCCAAAGTATTGCATCTCGCTCAGACTAAACCCCAAGTCCTGCTGTACTTGTTTCATCTCCTCCTTAGCGTTTCCACCATCTGACAGTGTATGTACGTGTGCGTGTGCATATGTGTGTATCTATATATTTGTTTACTGTCTCTCTGTCTCCTAGAATGATTTCTCCATGTAGGGAAGTATTTATTTATTCACTGCTACATCCCCAGAAACTAGAACTGTTCCTGGCACAATGTCAGCATTGAGCCCCATGGCAGGCCTGGCATTGTACTAATTGTTTTAAATGCATTGTTTCATTTAAGCTTCATAATAACTATAAGGCAGTTGGTGCCATCCACATTTTTATAGAGAAACATCAAGTTTGAATGGCCAAGGGCAGGGACTGTCTCCTTCCTCCCATGTCCTGGGTTCCTAGGATATACGAATGAGTGAGAAGTGGTCATCCTTTTAAAAAGTTAATACAAAAAGCTCTTGTGAGTTCTGATAAATAATAGAGTCATCGTAATTAACCATTAAGGGATATTCTTTTGATTTTTCTAAAGCAGATGTGCCTGCTGATATCCAAAGAGCCAATTGGATCCCCACAACCTGTTTCTTTTCTTCTCCTTCCTTTTAACTTGAGTGACATTAAGAAAATGAGAGATTGCATATAAAAGTATAAATTTTGGGGTTTTCTCAAAAATATTGAAGCCTGGGTCAATTTTGCATTTCAGCAGGACCACTGCTGGCTCGTGCAGTAACTTTGTGCAAGTTAGAAAAAGGTGTCCCCTCCTGCTGGGGGCCTAGCCTCACGTCGGGGCCCATGGCGTGGTGACGAAGTGTGGGCTGACCTTTAGCCTCCTAACACCCCCATGGCCTGGTGTCCTCGTGCAGGACCCCACCCGCACACATGTCCCTAGCCTTCCTCCACTGTTCTTCAACCAGCCAGAGCCGAGTGGCTGCAGTCTTCCTCTGAGAGGCACGTGTTCTCCATTTCTCACTGTGGCATCTTCTGAAGAGTGCACTGGAGTGTGTGCGACTGAAACTCATGAAATCCACGGCTTCTGTGGTTTCACTTGATTTTTAAAATTGGGTTCTGCATATTTCCCCATCAGCCAGTCTTCAGGAACCATATAACTGAGAAGAGACCTTTGTCTGGATTTGACTCATTCATTGTCTGGACCTACTTGGAGTGAGGTTCTATATATAATGCATCTGAGTGACAACTTGTAAACACATAACCAGGGTTTACTCTTTTCAAAAGCAGTGAAACAAAAACAAGTTACCTCTGCTGTAAGACATGTTTAAGGATCCCGGGCGCTCTGATGAGTGGTATGTCTTCAGTCAGTGCCTATCCCGTTTACTGCTTTATTTAGCCATGCCTTCTCTTTGACATTGTTGCCCTGGGACTAATAGTCCTTACGGGGCTCTAACCTCAAGTAGAATTCAGGAAAGAAAAGGACGTTTAGTTCTTCAGGCCCGTGCCGATTCCATTCTGTTATAGTAGGTAGGTTCAGATTTGAGAACGGTGGTAAGGAGAAAGCCTTGGGGTGTGCAGCTGCCTACCTGGGAGCAATTCAGTGGCTTGGCAAGGGTAGGAGGGCTTGGTGTGGTGGTCGGGCCTAGGTTTAATCTAACTCCTGCCACTTACTATCTGGGCCATATTGAATGTCATAACCTCTCTGAACCTCAATTTACCCATCTGTAAAGTGGTGGTAATTGTTCCTACCCCTTAGAATAGTTGGGAAAAGTCAATGAGAAAACCTTATCTAAAACAGACTCTCGACAAGTATTATTTTTCTTCTCCTCTGTTAACTCATATTCTTTTCCCCCAACCTAAACAGCAATGTCAGAAATGTATTCAACTTTTCATTCTCCTCTTGGAGATAAGGCAGAACCTGCCAGTGTCACCAAGGGACATAACACAGGGCCTTAGCGTTTAGACTAAGATGTAATAATAAGCACATGTAATTGGCCAAGAGGTATTGAGTGTTTGCTGTATGTAGGACACTGGGCAAGATACACTGAGATGAAGGACACAGGATCTTCCTGAGAGGTTGATAGTCTAACTGAGGAACAATGGCAAATTATTTTCAATCATGAGAAATCAAAGGAGCACAGGTGAAGTGTATGCTGCTGATGAGACGCACAGCTAATCCCAGCCGACCTGGCTGAGGGAGACGGGCGCTGGGTGCCAGGAGGACGGGGGAGAGCACAGACAAAGGCGCCTAGAGCTGGCTGCAGACAACAGGCTTTATTACTTCTATTTTTCATTTTCCTTCACAACAGTCCTGATGAGCTTCCACAGGGGGCAGTTGTCCTCTAGGTCATTTCTGCCTTTGAGCTAGTGTTCTGCTTAAACCTGCGATGGACTAGGAAGCCACTGAGAAACTCATTAGTGATTTGGAGTCTGGGAACACTTGCTGTTGACAGTTAGTTACCCAACGATGAGCAGATAGGACACAACAATATGTTCAATTTTAATTTTTTTAAGTGTAAAATTTGTTTTCATCTCATAAAAAGTGTGCCAATATGGAAGAGCTCAAAAACAAAAGTAAATGACACCCCAAATCTTAAATCAGCCATACACATAAACAGTTAGCTTTTTTGGTGTGTTTATTTCATATATATTTCATTTATAAGCACACCTATTTCTTTGATTCATAAGTAAGCATACAAAGTGTTTTGTTTTTGTTTTCTGTTTTTTGTTTTTTAAAAACTGGGGTCAACTACTGTGCTCACTATACTCTTATTTTGTAATTGATATTTTTTTCATATATCAATACATCATGGTGTTTTCCCATGTTGTCAAATATTCTATATAATTTTTAACGATAGAGTAACCTATTATTTGGTTATACCCAAGCTCAATTACCTATTTTGGGGTATTTCATAACAGCACCTACTTCATAGGGTCACTATAAGGATTGACTTTTGTTTTAGAGCAATTAGACATTGGCTGACACATAGTGAGCACTTTCATTACTTCGTGCAATAGCAGTAATGGCCTTATCAATATATTTTTCCCTCATCTATGTTTATGATTCTTGTAGGTGGTTTTAGATTTGTATTGCCAAATTACCTCTATAAAGTTGTACCAATTTAAATCCCATCAGTCCTATGTGGAATGTCCTGTGTCCCTAAACTTTGCCAATTCTGATTTTAAATGTGTTAGTCTTTGCCAAGTTAAGAAACAAAAAACTCTTTGATTACTAGTTTGTCATTTGGTTTTTTTTTTTTTTTTTTTTTTCGGTCAACTGCCAATACATATCTTCTGTCTGTTTTCCTATCAGGGATATTTACATTTTTCCTATTGCTTTATATAAATATTAACTCTTTGCCATATATGATGTAGTCATTTTTCCTGGTTTGCCATTTGCTTCTTCATTTTATTCTTGGTGGTTTTTATATACAGAAGTTTTACGTTTTCATGTAATTATATATGACTATTTCCTTATTGTATTAGTCCGTTTTGTGTTGCTCTAACAGAACTACCTGAGACTGGGTAATTTATAAAGGAAAGAGGTTTATTTGGCTTATGATTCTGGGACAGCTGCATCTGGCACCGGCCTCAGGCTGCGTCTACTCATGGCAGAAAGTGGCAGGCAGCCGGCGGGTACAAGCAGATCACATGGTGACAAGAAGCAAGAGAGAGAGGCAGAAGGTGCCAGGGTCTTTTTTAAGCAACGATGTCTCGCGGGAACTAATCGAGGGAGAACTCACTCATTAATCCCCCCTCCCCCAGGGAGAGCATTAATCCATTCATGAGGGATCCGCCCCCATGACTCAATCAGTTTCCACATTGGAGATCAAATTTCCACATGAGTTTTGGAGGGGACAACACATCCAAACTCCATTACTTATTATATTTTGTCTTTTTTTAATTATTCTTTTATTATTGTTTTTTAACAAATCGCTGCAGGAATAGGGGAAATATTTTGTCTGTATATTTTAAAAAGATGTCCTCTACTTCAAGATCAGATAAAAATATTTGCCTTTAGTTTTTTCTGGTTCTTTTATGGTTTTTTACATTTAAATATTGAATCTATTGAGAATTTATTTGATTGGTGTGGGGAAAGAGCTAATTTTATTTTGTCAGGTGTTGCCAATTGTCCCCAAACTGTTGAACAATCTCTTCCTACCACTAATTTAAAAAGTAACCTTAATAACATGCTGAATCCTTATATATATATCTGCTTGGATCTGTTTTTATAGCCCTTTGTACGTGAATATGTTTTTGTCAGATTAATTCCTCTAAGGTTGCTAATTTTACAGCTTTTGTTGTTTTAAGGCAATACAGGACATTGAAAAAGAATGGGCTAGACCCACGCAGGAGCAGAAGCAGAAATTAGAGGCTCTGCAGAAAGAAGACAATCAAACAAAGGTAAATCAAATATTGTTTCAAGAGAAATCCCTGGAAGGGAGTTAAAGAAACATTGGAATTGAGCTGTTTCTGTAATTTGTAGACCCCTCAAACACTAAAAGTGAGACTCTTTAAAAATGAGAATACCTTCACTGATTTTTCTGGTTATAGAATTAATTAAAGTTTATTGTTTAAAGATTCTAAAACATACAGACAGTATACTGTGAGTCTTTTGCCAAGCTAATTAATGTACATCCTCAACACTATTTTAAGTGACTACAGAGTAGTCCATTTTATGGTTATGTTATTGTTTAGCTAACCAGTTTCTTATTATTGGAAGTCAGGTTGTTTCCTGCTTTTGCTGCTATAAATCACTTTGGCAGCAAGCACCATGCGGTCCAGGATTGTGTCTAATTTATACACGCTCTGTGTATTCACAGCACCTGCTATGGTTTGGGCTGCAGGTCCCTGAACACTGCAGCCAACATCCCCTGTCCTTGAGTGTGTGTTCTGTTGTTCCTCAGGATATACTTCTAAACATCCATATTTAGATCTTCTTTTATTCATACCGCTCTTTTCTTCCTACACTCATGGAGTATTTTCATTCCCACTCTGCACCAAGCACTGTCACCGGAGCAGGGGCATGCCAGGGAATGGTGCAGGAATGGCCCCGGCCCCGGCAGGACACACTGTGAACTTTCCAAGGCTTGTTGTCAGAGAGCACAAGGGACATTGTCTTCATTTATACAGTTACTACGGCTCCATTCTCAGTGTGCTACTAGAATGTCCGTAGCTTCTGAGGTGAGGTTTCCATCTGCTTCAAATGGTCGTTTGCTTCCTCTACCCCTCACCCCACTTTTGGAGCAGTTTTTGGAGCTGTCCCGGGAGGTACAGCGCTATGGATACATGCGGCTGGACCCCTGTACCTGTGACTACCCAGAACCAGGCTGTGGGGCCATTCTTTCAGTCGGCAATGACGAGATCAGCTGCTGTATAACCCTGCCTGACAACCAGACCCTGGACATCGTTTTCCCTATGAGCAGGGTGAAGTGCTGGCAGGTCACTTTCCTTGTGAGTATCTCGGCACCTTGCTTTGCCTGTGATTTTAAAGTCCTGTTGTTCTTGGACCACAGTGTTCACACTAGGGAGACAGGTTTGCCATTTGAATGAATACCTTGAATGGGGTGGCCTGTAAGCCACATTAAAGATTACCTGATTATAAAACCTGTCAATAGTCTGGAGCAGGTTCCCTGTCCAGAGCAGTAGCAACACTGCTCTTCCCATCTTCCAACAGCAGGCCTCCCTCCTGCACATAGGGTGGCCATAGTAACTATCGCAGATAGTAATAACAGTTACCATTTATTGAGCACGTACTATGTGCTTGCTGCTGACAAGATCTCTGCCCTTGGAAACTGAAGACTGACCAGCAGAGCTCTTCTTAAGGATCCCTGGCATCATGCTTACATTGCTGTCTCCTTGCAAGAGAAACCCAGTGATCAGATATATTGAGTGTTTACCATGTACCAGGTGCTGTGCTGGGCACTGCCACATCATTTAATTAAATTCTCACAAGAACTCAGTAGGCTAAGTGGGATTATCCTCTTTACACAGGAAACCAAGATTAACTAGGAGAGGACAAAAGCTGCTAGAGCAATCGGGACACCCACTGGTTAAATCCATGGACGGGGGGAGGGGGGAGATGGCCGAGTGCTTGACCTCTCTGTAGCATTTGATTCTGTCGACCATTTCTGTCTTCTCACACTCCCTCTCTGTCCTCCCCTATTTTGGGGGCTGCTTCTCCCTCTGACCATTCCTGAAATGCTGGTGTTTCTTGAGGTTCCATTTCCAGCATCTTTCCTCTGTGTATTCTCTGAAATCAATTCCTCAGATCCCTTGCCGAGCCCCAGTGTTACTGCCTCTAGATGCCTTCCCCAGTGCCTCATATACATCGCAGACTCAGCCTCTCCTTCTTACATCTGTCCTGGAGTTTCCATCTTGATAGATGAGACTTCCACCACCACCCCCTAACTGCCAAACCAGAAATCTTAGAATTACCGACTTTTCTCTCTTTTACACTATATGTTTAATGCTGATGGAGACCCATCCACTCTCCTACCTTGCTGTTCGCCCAAAATCTCCCTTCCTCTCCACCCTCCTAGGTGGTATCAACAGTCCCTGCACGGATGGACTGGACAGCTTCCTGATCCTTCTCCCAAACCTCCTCTTTCCCCCTTGGGGTCAGAGAAAATACGTTGTATGAGTTCAGTCCATTTAAACCTAGGAAGACTTGTTTTATGGCCCCAAACTTGATCTATTTTGGTGAATGTTCCATATACACTTAAAAAGAATGTGCCTCCTGCTACTGGGAGAGAATTCTATAAATGTCAGTGACTTTAGGGATTGTTATTTTTGTTTGGTTTTTTTTTTTCCTTAGCATAATTCTTTGGAAGGTCATCCAGGTTGTTGTATATATCAGTAGTTTGTTTCTGTTTATTGCTGAGCAGTATTCCATAGTATGGATGTGGCAAAGTTTGTTAAACCATTCACCCATTGAAGAACATTTGGTTATTTTCAATTTTTAGCTATTATGAATAGAGCTGCTATACATATTCATGTATTTTTGACCACAAGTCTTCATTTCTCTAGGGTAAATGCCTAGGAGTGCAATTGCTGGGTTGTATGGAATTTCATGTTTAGTTTTTTAAGAAACGCCAAACTATTTTCAGGAGTGGCTGTACCTTTACCATTTTGCATTGTATGAGGGATCCACTTTCTCTGCAGCCTCCCCAGCATTTGGTGTTGGCACCATTTTTTATTTCCGCTATTCTGATAGCTGTGTAGTGGTATCTCACTGTGATTTTAATTTACATTTCCCTCATGGTTAATAATGTTGAACATCTTTTCATGTGCTTATTTGCCATCTGTACATCTTCTTTGGTGAAATGTCTCCTCTTTTACTCATTTTCTAATTGGATTGTTTAGTTTTTTATGTTGAGTTTTGAGACTTCTTTATTCTAGATACTAGTCCTTTGTTGGCCAGCTGTTTTGCATATATTTTCTCTCACTCTGCAGTTTTTCATCCTCTTGACAGGGTCTTTCACAGAGCAAAAATTTTAATCTTGATGAAATCTAATTTTTCTCTTTATGAATTGTGCTTTTGATATCCAGTCCAAGAATTCGTTCCTTAGATCCTGAAGATATTTTCTATAGTTTTTTTTCTCCAAAAGCTTATAAAAGTTACAGGTTTTACATGTAAGTCTATGATCAATTTTGAGTTAATTTTTGTATAGGGTATGAAACTTAAGATAAGGTTCCAATTTTTTTTTTTTTTTTTGCCTATGGAAGTCCAGTTGCTCTAGTACTACTGAAATGCTATCTTTCTTCAGTTGAATGGCTTTTGCACCTTTGTCAAAAATCAGTTGGGATTGTTTGTGTAGGTCTGTTTCTGGGTTCTCTATTCTGCATTTTTTTTTTTTGGGTTTTTTTTTTTTTTTTTTTTTTTTTTGGTGGCTGGCCAATACAGGGAACCAAACCCTTGACTGTGGTGTTATAGCACCGTGCTCTAACCAACCGAGATAACCTGCCAGCCCCTGGTTTCTCTATTCTGTTCTACTGATCTATGTGTCTATTCCTCCACCAATACCACACAATCATTTTCTTTCTTCATAACAGTTTTATTGAGATATAATTTATATACCATATAATTCACCCATATAAAGTGTACTACTCAATGGCATTTAGTATATTCACAAAACTGTGTGACCATCACCACAATCAATTTTAGAACACTTTCATTACCTAAAAAAGAAGTTCCCATACCCTTTAGCTGTCACTTCCCCGTTCCCCAAAACCCACCAGTCCTGGGGGAAAAAACCCCACTAATCTACTTTTTGTCTCTATAGATTAGATTTGCCTATTTTGGACATTTCTTATTAATGGAATTATATAATACGTAGTCTTTGCGACAAGCTTTTTACTTAGCATGATGTTTCTGAGTTCATCCTTGTTGTAGCATATATCAGTACTTTATTTCTTTTTATAGCCAAATAATATTCCACTTTATGGACATACCACATTTTATCTATCCATTCATCCATCGATGGACATTTGGGTTGCTTGGGTTGAATTATATGCTCTTATGAACATTTATGCATAAGCTTTTTTGTGGACATATGTTTTCATTTCTCTTGGTTATATACCTAGGAGTGGAATTGCTGAATCAAATGATAATTCTATGTTTAACTTCTCGAGGAGCTGTTTTCCATTTTGGAAAACAGGCTGGCAGTTACATCCCCACCCGCAGTTTTTGAGGGTTTATATCCCCATCATTAGTGTATGAGGGTTCCAGTTTCTCCACGTCCTTGCCAGTACTTGCTATTATCTGATTTTTTATTATAGCCAACCCAATGGGTGTGAAGTGGTATCTCATTGTGTTTTTATTTATTTCAGTCTTTTTTTCTCACTGGGCTTTGTTTTGGGTAGTTTCTATTGCTACAGCTTCAAGATCACTGATCTTTTCTTCTGCAATGTCTAACAGTGCTGTTTATCCTATCCAGTGCATTTTTACTTCTAATATTGTATTTTTCATTTCTAGAAGTTCCATTTACATCTTTTTTATATCTTGCATTTCTGTCCTTATGTTTATGTTTTTGTCTAAATTCTTGATTATGTGGAGCATATTTTAAATAACTGTTTTAATATTTTTATCTACTAATTCCATTATTGCTGACATTTCTGGGTCTGTTTCTATTGACTTTTTCTCCTGTTTGCAGATTATACTTTCCTCCTCCCTTGCATGCTAGTAATTTTTTTGTGGTATGCTGAATATTGTGAATTTCATATTGTTGAATGTTAGATTTTATTGTATTCCTTTTAAGAGTATTAGACTTTGTTCTGGCATGCAGTTAAGTTACTTGGGATTGGTTTTGCTTTCTTGAGGTTTGCTTTTAAGCTTTCTTAAAGCAGGACCAGAGCAGTCTTTAGTCAGGAGCTAACTAAGCCCTTTTTTTATTAGCTACTATTTTTAAGACTCTATCCTATTATTGTCTCTCTACTGTTATTACCTATTATGGTCTCTCTGCTCTGGCTGATGAAAACATGAACTCTTTCCAGCCTTGATTGTGAGCTCCTGGAATCGTTCAACCTAATGCTTGTTAGTGATTTCTTCCTTAGCCTCATGGAGTTTCACTCCACGCATGCATAGATTATTATTCAGCCAAAGACTTGAGAGTGCTTTCTGGAATTCTGCGTATAAAGCCCTCCTCTTTGGTATTCTGTCCTCCAAATTCTAACCTCAACTTCTTCAAACTCTTATCTCCTTCACCTTGACTCAGTAAGATCTCTAGGCTCTGTTTGGGTTCCTCTTTTTTATGCCACATCCTGGAAACTCCTCCAGACAGCAAGCTGGGATAATTGTGGGGATCTTATCTGTTTTCCTTCTCTCTGGGTTAACGGTCCTGCTGTTCAATTATCTGTTGTTCAGTGTTTGAAAACAGTATTTCCCAATTCATTTTTCCATTAATGCTGTCAGACCAATATTTCTAAAATATAAATCTAACTGTACTATAATATACTTTAAAAATCTCTTAATGAGGGCCGGCCCGTGGCTCACTCGGTAGAGTGCGGTGCTGATAACACCAAGGCCACGGGTTCGGATCCTATATAGGGATGGCCGGTTTGCTCACTGGCTGAGCGTGGTGTTGACAACACCAAGCCAAGGGTTGAGATCCCCTTACCGGCCATCTTTTTTAAAAAAAAAAAAAAAAAAATCTCTTAATGAATGTCTGTTGCCCTCAGGATAAAGTCCAGAATCCTTAACTTATCTGTAGGAGTTAAGACTCTGTGATGCCAAGCAATAGAAATTAACACATCTGACTCTAGTGGAAAAAAGCAGTTTATTGGCAGGCTTAAGAGAGTCAGGAACCAAAGGAGCTCAAGGTTCCAAGGAAACAGGAACTCTTTATCAGGGCCTACTCCTTGGGTTTCTCTACTCTGGAATCAGATGAGGGACACAGAGAGTATCTGTCCAGTGGGCCCAAGCTTGAGTTATACGTCACCCTCTGACTGGTCATTCCCTGACAGTCCTACATAGATAGCCTACAGTGGAAGAGGGATGGCTTTCCCTAGGAATTTGAGACTCCGTTATTAGGAGAAAGAGAGATAGATGCGTATAGCTTAAAAATCACAGATGCTCCCTGCCAGGCTTTTAAGATCTGGCCTTACCCTGTCTCTCTAAGCCCCCTCTCCACCCTCCCTGCCTGGAGCCTCTGCTTCAGCCACACTAGACCCCTTGCAATGTCTCTGCCATGCCAGGCCCCTTGGGCCTCAGTGTATTTGCACTTGCTATTTCTTCTACCAGGAATTACCTCTCCCCTTCCCTTGCCCACAAAACAAAACCACCACAACAAACTTGAATAGCTTCTACTTCTGCTCAGATGCCCCTCCCTCCAGGAAGCGTGTCTTTACCCTCCTAGCCTGGGTTAGGTGTCCGTTCTATTTACATCCATGGACCTGCTTCCCTTGTAACACTTACTGCATCAAAGTTTGGTGATTTACTTTTGTGGTTCTGCAGTAGACTGACAGCTTCTTGGAGATAGGGACAGTCTCACTCATTTTGATATTTTGCCTGACACACTAATGGGCACTTAAATTCTATTGAATATCAAATAATATCTTTTCCTCCATAGGGGACTCTGCTGGATATGGATGGGCCCCAGCAAACTCTCAACCAGAACTTAGAGCTCAGATTTCAATACAGCGAGGATAGTCACTGGCAGTGGTTTGTTATTTACACCAAGCAGGTGAGTTCTCAGGGCAGAGCATGAAAACCTTCTGTGCTGAAGTGCAGTCTTGCTTGCTGGGGTGGACAAAGCACATTACCCTAAACCAACTAGAGCAGGGCACTAGAGTATGCTACCCACTCTCTTGTTAGACTGTAATACCTTTTATGTTATTTTTGGACTGTATACCTTTTATGTTTGTTTGTTGTCTTGTTTTATTTTACTAGTCACCATGGCCTTTATATCGGTTAGAAATGAATTTAGTTTCCAAGGGGTGGAAGACTTAATGAACAGTAGCTTATACTAGGGGTCGGCAAACATTTTCTTAAAGGGCCAGATGGTAAATATTTTAGGATTTGAGGTCCCCGTGGTCTGTGTTGCAACTACTCAACTCTGTTAAAAGCAGACATAGCTAATACATAAAAAGATGGGTCTGGCTGTGTTCCAATAGAACTTTATGTACAAAAATAGGTGGTCAGTTGGATTTATTTGTTGCCCTTGGCTTAGACAATACAGATTTTTATTATCTCAATAAGGATACTGAAAGTAGATGATTGGCATCTCTATCATCCTCTAGGCCTTTTCCAAGCAGATGAAAAGCCATCTTTATTATCTGGACAGCAAAAGCTTTACCCTACCCACAATAGACGTTGCATTCTGTCTCATTGGCCAGAACTGGGTCATATGACCACTCCTTGCTGCAAGGTAGTCTGAAAATCAAGCGTCTAGCAGAGAGGAACAGGATTCATGATTGGCTTAGAGTAATCATGAGTCATCACCTGGGGCTGGGCTCTTTACCATCCCAAACAAAATCAGATCTCTTAGGAGAGAAGAGGCAATGGCTATTGGGTAGCCAATTATGCATGTCTGCCATAGGCTTATAACTAAAATTGTAGTAGAAATACTTAAATAAAAAAACCCTAATTTTCTAAACACCAAATCCAACTAAAAAAATCTTTTTACTGAACTAACTTAAGCTATTTAAAATTGGAATCAAAACTACAGATGTTCTAAAATGGAATCAAAATATCAAGATAATCTTTGCATTGATATTATATTCACCTTGAGTCCCTGGTGGTCACACTAAGTTCCATGGAGCATTCTGGTTTCCAGTAACCAAGGCTGCCTTTCAATTCTCTACATCCAGTAGTTGTGGTTATGATATCAGAGTCCTCTGAAAAACACTAAGTACTAAATAAAAATCCTAGACTAAAGAAATGGGTCCTTAGGTTCACCTTGAATATCAAATATCCTTAGGGCAGGATGGTTTGCTGAGGCAAGATTTGCAGTCACTTGGAGAGATATAGAGAGATTTTGGCAATAAAATTACCCCCTCTTCAGAATGCTAAGTGCTGTTAAATTTTATTATGGTCTTTTAATCTAGTCAGTAGCAAATGAGTTGAAGCCTTTATAGAGAGGTACAATAAACATTCTTTTAAAGGATTCCTAGTAAGGTCTTATTTCCTTTGGAGTTTGAGTTTTATTGATGTGCACCCAAGGAGTACTTTTGCAAAATGCAGAAATATGGCTTGTGTGCCTTGCAGATACAAATGAGGGCTTGGGCCCAAATCTTTTCTTGGCCCTTTAAACAAAAGCTTGGTTCCTTTACATTTGATAAGCCTGACCTGGTTTATAGCAAAGTCCTAGTCTGCATATTTGTGTACATTGTATAGGAATATGGAATCTGTCCAGATTTTGTTGGATGCTGTTAAACATCCATCCTACCTGTATCAGCTCAGGGTTTTGTTGTTTAACTATTTCATACTCTGGTTTTGCGTAGGCTACATATATGAACAGATAAATAGGGCTAGTTCTTAGCAAAACTGGTAAGTCAAACTTTGTGTATAAACTCCATGTCTGCTACTATTTTTCTTATTTGTGGCAACCTCTATTTTTTTCTTTCTTCCTTTCCCCTTAAATAAAATTAATTTCTATCATGTTCTACAGCCCTGCAAGATGTTTAGATACTACCCATGTGTAGCCCATTCTCCCTCTAGTTCTGTTTTCTATGTCTTCCTCTCTAAGAGCTTTCTACTTTGGCTACCACTCCAACCTGGGTATTCTCTCTCTCCTCCCCGTCATCCCCTCCAGCAAGGTGACCATCCCTGTAAGGTCTTATAGCCTCAAGCTTTGAGCTTTGGTTGTCTCAAATTTTAGTCGTGCCAGAAAAGAAAACAGCAAGCCAAGAATTAAGAGCAGGACAAGAGAGAAGGATTAGTGGGAAAGGAAAAAATGGGAAAATCAAAGGGAACCTTAAATTTGACACATAGGGATGAAGATCCTGGAACAAGAAAGCCCAGCTACTGGGTAGCAAGATGTACAACTCTGTGTGTCTTAGCACCAACAATGATGATTCAGCCACAGATGATACTGGAGGCAACTATCAGTCTTTAAAGGGAGTGATTAAAAATACTGGAAAAGATTCCATTTGTGGAAGAGTGGCTAAAGCACCACCCGAGGCCACCAATCCCACTCTCCCTCCTGCTGACAGAAGAGGAAGCAGCACTCTGCATTCAGTCCTTCTGGAGAGCTTATCTGAAGGATTCCAAGATGGCGACGGGTTTGGAGCGGCCATGCCAGGAGACAGCGTGATCCTGAGAAGTGTGCGCTGTGATACCAGAGTA